AAATAATTGAAATAGCAGCTTTTTGAACAAATACCCAAAATGACCCCTAAATATGAATTTAAGCAAAAATCTTCGACGTGTCCTTCGATGACACATTTAGACCAACAATTTCCCAAAGTAGAATGAAAATCGGGAATTTACACTTGGCGGGGTTCCCTTGTGAGACGGACCTGTCACCAGCGGCGTCTTCTGATTCAGAATCCTTCACTGTATCCACTTGGCCAGAGTGAACACGCGAACACTTTACTACAAAAGTGTGGGATTTTCCACACACGTATCGGTTTTTCCCTATACATTATTTCGTGTATAGGAAAAAACCTACACATGTGAAGGAAATTTCGCGTCCCTCACGCCTATGGGAGTTTTCCTACACACTTGTATGGCAAAAATCCGAACACTTTTTACAGTGAAGGACCACGAACTCACTTGCTGGTTTTTTTATCCCGTACTTTTGTTACAGGACGCTCGTCATGGTTGTGATACGCGCACACCGGGGTAACACCATAGTCGCATTCCGAAAGAGTATGCGTCTTAACCTGCCTACATTTAGCGACTCCATCAACAAGTGGTATTCAACGCTCAATGTGCTGCTAAAGATGCCATAGACTTGCTTACAAGACCGTTTAAAACTTATCTTATAACGATAAGCGATAAGCAGCCAATCAGAATTGTTCGCTGAACGAGAGCGCAGCCTCTTTTCCTACTAATCAAAAATTATACGTCGCCCCCATGCAAGAAAGTCCGTTCTACGACGGTCGCCCAGAGAATATCCGATCTACAAGCGTCGTTTGGAGAATGGTCGATCTGCATTAGCCCGGCTGGAGAACATCCGAAGCAACATTTTTGACTGTTTTGAGATATTGGTGCCATTTTATGTAACTTAGCGAGATACGTAAAATGGCATCGATATCTCAAAACAGTCAAAAATGTTGCTTTGGATATTCTTCAGCCGGCCTAATGCAGATCAAACCAAGGGGTGAACATCTCGTGTATTCCTCTGCCCCGGCGTCCTGTATTACTTTGTATTACCTGATATTACTTGTATTTCTTTGTATTACCTTGTATTACCGTGTATTACCATGTATTACCTTGTATTATTTTGTATTACCTTGTATTACCATATATTACTTGCGCAATATTACGCAATATAACCTTGTATTACGTTGTAATACTTTTTATTATTTGTATTACCATGTATTACCAAGTATTACTTCTATTACTCGTAATAGCTGTAATACCCTGTAATACCTTGTACTACTTCGTAATACCTTTGTAATATATCTTGTAATTCTTTGTAATACCTTGTAATACCTTATAATACTTGTAATACTTTGATATTATCTGTAATACTCGTAATTTTTGTATTACTCGTATTCCCAATATTACTTTGTAATATATTCAGTTGTTCACCCCTCGGATCAAACATTCTCTAAACGACGCTTGTAAATCGGACATTCTTTGAGCGACCGTCGTAGAACGGACTTTCTTGCATGGTGGCGACGTATAAGCAGTTTACGTTTTCAGAGCACCTTTGAAGTCTCGCGCTCTTGTCCCTCTACCGGCGGCGCACGGTTTGGTTGTTATTTTCACGATCTCCTTTCTCTGAGCACCCGCTTTAGAGGCACTCTATCTCTCACTGTGTGGGCGCTAAAGGAAGCTACTCTCACAAAAGTGGCCCAAAAATAAATTTATTAATTTCCGAAAATATTAAATGGTCTCCTATGGGGTAGCTTGAGAATGAAGAACCCTCAAAAATTCTCCCTAACAGTATTTGCTTTTATGTCCTCCTAAGGGGTAACTCGTAAAAGTAGAATCCTTTGCACGAAAATTTCGTCCGTTTTGCTCTATCTCTTACCGTTTGGGCACTAGAGGGCCTTTTAGACGAAAATAAGCTAAAAATTGCCATAGTGAACAATAAGATGTAGAAAAA